GATTTAGAACAAGTAATGAACATAAGCTTAGTGGCGCATGGCTTGTGGGCAAGGTCACCACATCTGAACCAAGAACCTAACGCGAGTTCCTAGAGACTGCTCTTTGTCTTACTTTCCAGTTGAGAAGAAAGGTAGGTGCAGACTTGCCTTCCACAGCCTTTTGTGATGATGGTTTTTTCATGTCATGTTCTAGGACACCTGGGAGTAGACTAAGGAAGGAAAAAAGAGGCCCTGTCCCATGGTACAAGCCACTGTTCCGGATGAAGGGAGGGAAGAATTCACTTTGACATGTACTTTTGGGGGCATTGAGGAGCAATCTGTGCGGCAATACTGGGGGGCAAGAAAAACAAATAAAGGCCCAGTAAAAGCCCAAAGTGGGTTCTGTATGAGATTTTACCTGCTTTCGGTTTTAAAAACAGAAAGCAGTGCTTTCATTTTTGATCATTTCATGGATTCTGAATGTCCCTTCTCCCACTGTATTTGTTCTCCTCCAGTATGTGTTACTTTTCCAGTTCATCAGTTAAGAAACTACCTCCACGTGCAGGAGGCGGTGGATGTAGGTGGGGGATGTAGATGTAGGAGAAAGTCGAGACCCCTGTCTAACATACTTAGTCCAATCCTGAGACAGATTGTGACCTGATGTAAGTCCCCTATTCATGCATCTGACACTCAGACCATAAACTTAAGCTTCTCATAGGAAACCTAGGAATGGAAGAGGGCTTGAAGATTGTTAGTGTGGCCCTTGGGTTAGGGTCAGAGGAATCTGTGTGCAGTCTTTGCTCAGATGAGACAAAACATACCCAGAAGAAACAAGGACTAGAAGCTTCTGTGTGCTTGAACTACAACCCACACTTCCTGGATCTTAGTCCAGGACTCCCCAGCCCCAGCTCATCTTTTCCCCACATTTCCACCATTACCTTGTACAAAGAGTCATCTAGGTTCAGACTTCCTATTGAGTCACCACTTTATTTTATAATCTTGTCCTATGAGAGGCTGGCCTGTTAGACAATCTTCTTGATTTCTTCTAGATCATTCTGACCCATGAGAAAGATGTTCATATAAAAGTGAGGAAACGTGACTGGTGTTGGTGCTGATCCTCAAGGAGTTTGATGCTATTGGAACGTCTGGGGCTGCCTGTTTTTCTGTATCTCTGTACTATGGATAAAAAATGAAGACACTATCCTTGCCAATAGTCTCATAAATGTCATAGATAATGTAAAACCTTGACAGACCCCTCCCTAGCATGGAGAACTATCCCTCATGTCCATGTAATATTCTTTGGTTTATATGAAATTTGGAGCACTGAGCTCTAGAACATAAATACACAATTTATTTTGTCTTTGAGGAATTTATTTGCCTTGTGTCAAAAAGTCTATTTGTTGTGGTGTGAATGTAGGGAGCAGCTGCATGAATGTACTTGCAGAGTTCCTTAGAAACAGCTAACATCAGCCTCAAACATCCAGACCATAACTCACTTTACCAAAGAATCATGAAAATATGGTAGGGGACACTGTTGATACAGATTCTGTCTTGGAGAAGATTCCAGTCTAACTAGAAAGGAGTCCACAAACTCAGAACCCCCAAGGCTGTTATGCACGATTGCCATGCCTAAGTGTATAGCCAGCCACTTGAAAAGGTCAGTGTTCGGAAGTTCAGTTGTTGGAGCAAGAAACAGAGATTGATTTTGAAGCTTGGCAGCCCAAGGAAAACGGTCACTATTATCAACAAGGCCATCTTCTTATGGGTTGCTCACACAGGCTTATACAGGGGATCTGTTTAGACATATAACATGTGCAGGTGACAGGGAGTTACAAATGTGGAATGTTCTGCTTTGCTGATGCACAGGCAGCTGTTGCCTAAAACTGTTCCACATGCTGGGCTGTGGAAATGTAAAGAAAATATACTGAAGGTTAAGTGTTATGGTTGTGCCATTTTAGTTTATCCTAAAATGAATCATTAGGGTAAGTATATCCCATCAAAAACTAGGAAGGTAAAAGGCAACATTCCACCCAAAATCTGGGGACACAAAAGACTGACAATATTCACCAAGAGCAGCTGTGTTAGCTCCTTAGAAGATTCCAGAAAGAGGTGACATCTACTGCAAAGATCTTAGGAGACTAGTACTGCACTGCTCAGTGGCTTGGCTTCAAATACAGTGATTTCCAAAATCAACCCAAAGCGAGTGGAGCTAGAGTATTTATATAGTATGTGTGCATGTGAGTGCACGCACACGTCTATACATATGTATGATTGATGGTGTGTATGCTGGTGAATGTGTGTACACATGCATATGGAGGCCAGCAGTCAACCTTGGGTGTCATTTCTCTGGTTATATATAATTGTTTTCTTGCTAAGGGTTTCTTTCTGGCCTGGATCTTGCCAATTAGGGTAGGCTAGTGGGTCAGAAAGCCCCATGATCCACCTGTGTCTGCCTTCCCAGGACAGAGATTACAAACCCTTGCCACTGTGCTGGCTTTTAATTTTTTAACGTGGGTGCTGGGGATCATGTGAAAGTTCTCCTACATGCAAGGCAAACACTTTGTGGATAGAGCTCTCTCCCTAGACCTGCTTAGGTTTTAGTAGTTACAGTTAGACAGAATCTTCATTTTCTAAATCCTCTGAATGCATGTTTGGAAAAATAAGGACAAAAATAATTGCAAAAAACACAAATAAACCAAAGTACACATTAAATTTGACTGAAAAGAAATACCCATTACTTTCCCAACACCCTTGTCTGCTATTGCTTATGAGGGAAGTCACACAGATTTCTCAAGCACTTCCTTACCATTGTTGGCCATGTGTGATGGGAGCTGTGTATGAAGGAAGGCAGAGCACATGTGATACTATCAGTGTGTAAGAAGAAATGAGAATGGGCTTTTGTTGTGGTGGCAAAGCAGAAAAGGGATGTGGTTAAAAAAATACTGCAAGGTGGCTGAATGTGCAGGAATAAAATTGTCGATGTAGACAAACAAATATATTCAATGTATTTGAGACTCCAAAAATCAAAAAGGAAAAAATAAAAGTAACATTAGAATACAGATTAGCGTTAAAATGTGTCACATGCCTTTAATCCCAGCACTTAGGAGGCAGAGGCAGGTGGATCTCTGTGAGTTAGAGGGCAGCCTGGTCCACAGAGTGAGTTCCAGAGCACCCAAGGCTGTTACACAAAGAAACCCTGTCTCAGATAAACAAACAAACAAACAAAAAAAACAAAAAACAAACAAAAAAAGGAAAGGAAAAGAAAAAAGGGAATAAAATGTGAGTTTCTCTTTATAAGAAATTTAAATTGTTTTATATTTTAAAACAGCCATTGTGGTTATTAATTGAGGTAAGAATAAGCATACAAGGGTTAAATGGACCCAAGGAATGCCTAAAGGTTGTCAGGTAGGATGACAAGTTCCTTTGCTAAAGTGAAGGAAATGTAGATTTGGAAGAATTATTTACTGGGCATGGAAGGCAGGTAAGAACAACTATTATAGAAAACCAGTTTTCTAATATGGTCGACTGAGTTAATTGCTGGGCCTTCTATGAAGGAAGGGAAGATAGATTGCCACAGCACTTTTAGGGTTCTTGCCATATCTGTCTCTTGTTATTCTATTTTGGGGGACACTGAAAATACGGACACTAAAATCAACACAAAGCAAATGAAGCTAGAGTGCTTAGAGTGGGAGCATGCACAATGTACACACGTGCATGAATGATTGTGTGTGTGTGGATGAATGTGTTTGAGATTTATTAGGATTTAAATTGATACCATAGAAGTTGAATTTTCACAAGTAGAAATACACCCATTGCTGTATGTTAGATTTAAAATTATTCTAACCTTTACAAATTTAGACTTTGTGTTCTGCTCAGGGGATGATAAAGTCTATAGATAGGTTGAAATATCACTACTCAATAGCATAATGTGTACACCACTTAACAACCCTGCTGTCGTGACATCCTCTACAAGATATATAGACACAAATGCAAAGATTTTAGAGAAACTGAAAATCAAGGAAATATGACTCCACCAAGAGCATACATTAATTCTTCAATAGCAGACTCTACAGGACTAGAAATACATGAGTTGCCTGATAATGAATTCATACCATATTATAATCCTAAGAAATTCAGTAAACTACAAAAGGACACACTTGGACAATTCATGCAACAAGAAAATTCATGGTACGAATAAAAATTTTGACAAAGATTCATATCACAAAACCAGAAAGTTTGAAGACTCAATAAACAGAATTAAGATACAATAGTTTTAACAGCAGAAAATTTTAAAAATCTGAGAACTTAAAAAAATGATTCTTTTGAAATTTTCCACAGCAGAAAAAAAAAATAAGAAAGGAATCTTTGAAGTGTGAAAAGATCCTAAGATGCTGTTAAGATGTCTATAGCAAACAAATTTTCTCATTATAAAACTAGAAGGAGAAATGATAAAAAGTCAGAATAGAATATTTATTCATGAGAACCAAGTCTTAGGAGAGACATGGAAATCTAGGTATTGTAAGCACAAGTGTTCCAAATATATTTTCTCCTACTATAATGACAAGCAGAGACAAGAGAACTTTCAAAACATTGAGAGAAAAACATTCCATACACAAGAGAATTATGATTAGCCTTGCAGTGAATTTTTTTCAGCAAAATACACTGTGTTCCAGGAGACACTAGATTGGTGTACTCAAAGTGCTGAAAGAAAGAACCTATGACTATGGACTAACTTTACAGAAAATATTAGATGGAGATATCCAGTTATAGAATAGGTAATGATAATGATGAGGATTATTAATGTAAAAAATTCACAAGTAGATGTAAGTATACATTATCAATTCAGAATACAGACTGTAGATTAATACATCATTAACTAGAACGATATCATGGTATTTCCTTAATTTGTATGTTTTAGCATATTTAACTCAATTAGTATTTATGTGTCATATTGTATTTAGACTCCCTGTTTCCAGGAAGTCACCCTAAATTATATTTCTTCTTCTACAGCTATTTCTGCTGCCATGATAACCATACAAGGAATAGAACAGACTGCTTTGGAAGCTGGCTATGATGCACAGCAGCTGGGACAACAGCCTTTATATGTGAATTCACAATCATGGAAACGGATGGTACAGAAATTCTTGAAGGGAGAACCGAAAATCCTTGGGGTATGTTAATTTTGAGAGGATAACAGTGCTATAAATTCTCAGATGACCAATGTAACACCAACCACAGTGTGCTGCTAGCCTTTTGATGCATCAAATGGTATTGGAGTTATTGGTGTTTAATTTGCAGAACTTAGATTCTCAAAAAAACCCATTATATTCTATTAACTTATATTCTCATCGTAAATCTGAAAGCCAGCAAACAATATCCATGTCATATCCTGAATGTATGTTGTCTTTTCTATGCCAAGATAATTAGCCTATTGTTTTTATATCTAGCCTCACTCAAAATCTCAGGACATAGAGAAGTTGTAGATACATTTTCCCCAACATCTAACACGTGTGACTTCTAGTCCAGTTCCCAATACCATAGGTCAGAACTCATGAACTAGATCTTCAATCTATGTCGCTGTCAGTGTTCTTATCTTCTAAGCTCCTACATAAACCATCATTTAGGATCTGTGCACATACTGCTTTAGGTTTTCCAAAGCTTTTCCAAATTCCTCCAATAAGCCAGTTCCAAAGAGAAGTACTACCAGGTTTAATCACTTCTCTGGTATCAATTTTGTGTGCTATTTTTCTCATCACTCTGACATGTGTCACTAAGCAACTTCAAGGATAAAAGATTTATTTTGACTGTGGTTTCTGAGGCTCAGTCCATGGTTGTGTCATTCCACCTCTCGACTCAAACATCCTGTCAGCGGAGCATATGACACAACTTGTTTATCTAATGGTATACAAGAACATTATGTAGACACGGGTAAAAGCAAGGATGAATTCTAACCTTAACCACTTGGACCCACCCATTAGTGAGTGATCTACTTCTAAGTAAGCCTCCCCTACAAAATTTCCAGAACTTCCCAAAATATCACATCCATCTGGGAAATGAAGCATTCAACACATAAGCCTGTGAGAGACATTTCATATTCAATCCATAGTTCCAGCACTAATATCCTGTTTGCTGTCCTAATCAGGGTGTCAGGGTTTCTATTGCTGACAAAATATCACAACCAAAAAGCAAGTTGGGAGAGGAAAGGGTTTATTTAGCTGACACTGCCACAATGTATCTATCACTGATGAAAGCCAGGACAGGAACATAAACAGGGCAGGAAACTGGAGGACATATCTGATGTGGAGGCTGTGGAGGAGTGCTGCTTACTGGCTTGCTCTCCATGGCTTGCTCAGCCTGCTTTCTTGTAGAACCCAGGATATCCATCCCAGGTATGGCACCACCACAATGGGCTGGGCCCTTTCCCATCAACCACTAATTAAGAAAATGCTCTACAGGCTGGCCCACAACCCAATCTTATGGAGGCATTTCCTCAGTTGAGGTTTTCTCCTCTCCAATGTCTATAGTTTGTGTCAAGATGACATAAATCCAGCCATCACACTTGCCTTTTAAAGTTTCCATTACCTCAACATTGCTATGCTGGGGACAGTTCCTTCCTTCCTTCCTTCCTTCCTTCCTTCCTTCCTTCCTCCCTTTTTAAATAAATTTTATTTAAATTAGAAACAATCTTATTTTACATATCAATATCAGTTCTCTCTCCCTCCCATCGTCTCATACCCCCCAACCATCCCTCCATCCAATCCCCCATCCACTCCCCAAGAAGGGTGAGGCCTTCCATGAGGGATCATCAAAATCTGTCAAGTTTTTTGGGGCAGGGCCTAGGCCCTCCCCAGTGTATCTAAGCTTAAGAGAGTATCCCTTCATGGGGAATGGGCTCCTGAAGTCCATTCATGCTCCAGGGATACATCCTGGTTACACTGCCAGAGGCCCCATAGTCTGCTCAGGCCTCCTAGCTGACACCCACTTTCAGGGGGCCTGCTTTGGTCCTATGTTGCTTCTCCAGCTGTTGGACTGGGGTCCATGAGTTCCCACTTGCTCAGATCAGCTGTTTCTATGGGTTTTCCCAGAATGGTCTGACAAGGCAGAGAGAGAGAACATGCAAATTAACAAAATCAGAAATGAAAAGGGGGATATAACAACAGACACTGAGAAAATCCAAAGAATCGTTAGGTCATACTTTGGGGACAGTTTTTTGTGACTGAATGTCTCTGTTACTAACTTAATCTAAATCCTGGATTTTTGCAAAACTGTATTTAGTTTCCAAAGAAGCTGCCTGATTGCCCACCCTTCATGTGCTCTCTTGAGTATTTCAAACAGGAGTGGTAAGAGTTCCGGTGGCTCCACAACTGCTATGTACCCAATGCCAGCCTGGAACTCTCTATGTAGTAACCCATGCTGAGTATCAATTCTAGAGAGCTATAACGTCAATGACTAGGATTGTTAAGTTTCATTGAATTTTTATTTGAAGGTGAGAATTGTTATTTTTTGCAGTATTGTCTTTTTATCAATTAACATGGAGTACAATTTTATACACACACACTATCAGATTTACACATAGCAAATGCCAAATAATAGTACTTATGTTTGTCATTTCCCTATTTTTTATTATTTGACACCTTTATATATTCACATGATGAATTTTAGCCATTTTCATTTTTCCGTTATTTTTGATATTATATCATTTTCCCTTCCCTTTCCTCCTCCTTGCTCTCTTTCAAATTCATGGCTTCTTTTTCACCGATTGTTGTTACATGCATATATGTATATAAATATATGCTCCTAATATATAAGATGCTCGGTTTGAATGTTACTTGTATGTATGTTCTCAGGGTTGACCATTTGGTATTGGATAACCAATTGGTGTACTCCTCCCTAGGGAAGACTATTTTTCTTTTAATGTCTACTGATACCCCATTTTTATTGATTATTTTGTTACTTGACAAAAGAGGGAGGGAACTCTGTGATCAAGTCAGATTTATTAACAGGTGTCAATCAATAAAGTACACTCGCAATACAGAATGAAGCTGCTGCCCCTGGGGATCCAGCAGATAGACCTTCGCAGTTTGTACCGTCTCTGCCCATCCTTAAAGGGCATGAGAACCAAGCCACCAGCCATGCTTGTTCTTATGGCTCACTGCCATCTCGCTTACACCCAAGAGAGTGTCCCTTTTATTGGGTATTGGGGTCATGTACCCCCAAAGAAGACCACACCCAATACAATTTGCTGTCGAATTCCCACAACACTCTTTCACTTCCCTTTTCCTATCAACTCCACCTCTCATTTTACCAATCTCATTCGCTTCCCAGGTTTGTGTCTTCTGCAACCCATTATGTTTAAGTAGGGCCATCTGACTTCCATATATGGCTTGATACTACTAATGGGTAGCCTCACTTTTTTTTCTTATCTAGTCTGATTAACAGATAATAGATTTTTATTGTGTCTCTTCAGTGAAAAACATTAACTGTAGATTTTGTTCCAGTCCATTGTTTTCTTATCTTCACTTCCCAAGTCTACAAAGTAGGTAACACAGATGAAATGGAGAATTCTTTGAAAACACTATATACCAAAACTCAAAATGAAACAAAAACCCTAGAAAATCTGAATGGGCTGGTGTCATCAAATAAAATAAACTAAAAATTAGTAATATTCTAAAATAGAAAGCAGTGAATGCAGAAGGTATCTGAAGTGAATTCTATCAAATGTTTGACTTCCATTCTAAAATTCATTTCCCTTTCTTGATTTGCTTTTCTTTTTTGAGTTTCCAAATATGAACACTTGGGTAGTTAATTTTAGATCTGTCCTCTTTTTTTGTTTTTGTTTTTCGAGATAGGGTTTCTCTGTGTAGCTTTGGAGCCTATCCTGGCACTCACTCTGGAGACCAGGCTGGCCTCGAACTCACAGAGATCCACCTGCCTCTGCCTCCCAAGTGCTGGGATTAAAGGCATGCGCCACCAACGCCTGACTAGATCTGTCATCTTTTATTTTTTTATTTTTATTTTTTTGGTTTTTCGAGACAGGGTTTCTCTGTCATCTTTTAAAAACAAATACATTGTGATAATATATATTCTTATGTATTACCTTTCTTTAATCTCCCAAGTTTTTATAATTTTCCATTCCTTTTGCATCCTAGTGGATTGGACTATCTGTTATATAATACCCATACTTTAAAAACAGGTGTGTGTGTGTGTGTGTGTGTGTGTGTGTGTGTGTGTGTGCTGATCATGGAAACCAGAAGAAGGCATCAGGTGCCCATGAGCTAGAGTACTGGTAGTTCTGAGCCTTCAGATGTGGGTGCTGGGAACAGAACTCTGGTCCTCTGTAAGAGCATTGTGTACTGATGAGCCACCTCTCCAACTGTGGATTCTCCCATTTTTAGGGCACTTTATTAACATTTCCCCCTCAGGTCCCAGATCCCAGAGACAATGCTCTATCTACTCTTCTCTTTCTTCACTCTATTGCTAGGTATGTTTCTTCAAGTTACTTTTTCTGGTTAAAGACATTATTTACTAATTCTTGGATCACCCTTGTCTGAGCATAGGACTAAGGAGAGAAGTTGTGTCAGTAGCACCTTGAGTATCAGAAAATGCATCTTGGAAAAAACTTGGGGATATTCCTTCTAGCTTTAAAATTACTAGCATAATGATAGACTTCCTGTCAGACAATTTTGATAAGTTGTTATAACCACAGCTACATGGACAAAAACACCAAGAGAAGACTATCCAGAACGGCATCTTAGTGTATCAAAAATGGAGATTGAGAGTATCTTAGTGGTTGTAAAAGAGGCAACATAGGCACACATTGTGGTAAATGATCTTTTCTTATTTCTTTGCTGTCACATCTAGGTTGTGCAGATTGTGATTGCCCTCATGAACCTCGCCATAGGCATCATGATGATAAGCACCACTGTGCCATACAATGATGCACTCCCTATTTCAGTGTACATAGGGTACCCAATTTGGGGATCTCTGATGGTGAGTTGCATATCTTATATTACAAGTGGGTCTAGCATAGCATTGTTTTTAAGATCCTGAATGTATTTATTAATTTATTAGAGGGCTCTTATCTCTTTTTATTTAATTATTTTGAAAAATAGGTGATAGAATGTTTGTATATAGTACACTGTACTTACATCTGCCCCCGCACTCCCCTCTCTCATCCCTCTCACACAACTAACAACTACCTTCCTCTAACTAGTCTTCCACCTTCTTTCTTTCTGTCTTTGCTCTTTCTCTCTGTCTCACTCTTGTTCCCTCCCTCTATTCCTCCTTCCCTCCCTTCCTCACTCCCTTTCATTCTACTTTCTAGGGCCTCTATAGGAATTCACAGATTCTATGTGTTCATGGTTGCAATGGCCATGTTGTATCCAGAATACTATACTCCATCACATTCCTTCCTGTCCTTTAGCTCCTACAGTCCTTCCATTCAGTCTTCAGTGATGTTCATTGGGCGCTCTCTCTCTCTCTCTCTCTCTCTCTCTCTCTCTCTCTCTCTGTGTGTGTGTGTGTGTGTGTGTGTGTGTGTGTGT